AGTTTGCTGTAAGATCCTGATAGTTTCTCTGCAGTTTCTCATAGTTCTCTTTGAGCTGGCTGAGCTCATTGAGCTTCCTTAGAACCATTGTTTTGAATTCAGTATCTGATAGTTCCCTTGCCTCTATTTCATTTAGCTCTCTCTGTGGGGAGTCCCCTTTTCCACTCATTTGGGGGGAACTTCTTTTTCTTCCCATTTTTGTGAGTCTATTATTATTATTTTGCTTCTGCTTCAATTGATCTGTATAGATTTCCTGACTTTGTGGATTAAACTTCTTTGCTAGCAAGCAGGTCTTTTTATTTATTTATTTATTTATTCACTTACTTACTTACTTACTTTTCTTTCTGAGTCTGCCCCTGATGATGTCAGTTGTTGACCCTATCTGACCTTGGGCCATCTGTTTGAGCCTTCCAGGAATCTACTGTCTGTGTCTGTCTCCCGTGATTGTCAATCTGGTCACTCTGTCCTCATCTGTCAAGTTTAGGCACCAGCGGGCAGAGCAGTGCCGCCTCAACGCAGGACTATCCTGCCCTTATAGACTGCTGTCACTCAGGAGAGTAGTCCGCATGAGCGAGATGGGGATCATGGACAGAGGAAGAGTCAGCACCGGGACTCCCCAACACCTCTATCTCCAGTCTCTCCTCGAGGGTCTCTGGGCAGCCCTGTGACCCCTTTGGCCAGGTATCCGCTATTTCTGCAGACCATGGTGTAATCGGGGGCGAACCAGCTCCCACGCCGGCTCTGCCTCCTTGGGGGCGTGGCCTGCCTGTGCAGAATGGAGACTACGGAATGGGGAGGGAGTCTGATCCAGGAATCCTGGCTAATCCTCTCGTTCTTTCCCCAGAACCTCGGTCTTCAGTCTCTCCTCAAGGGTCTCTATGCAGCCATGTATCCCCTTCTCCAGGGATCTTCTATTTCTTCCAGCCAGTCTGCACTCATCTCCCAGCCCACATGAGCGCAGGCTGTGTGTGGAGTGTGCAAAAGGCAGGTTAATTGATTCCCTTATGCCTGAGCAAGATGGTAGCTGCGGAGTGGGAGGTGAGTTATCATCAGGGCTCTGCTGGCCACCGTCTCAGTTCTCTTCACAAAGTTTTCCACATCAATCATTCCTCAGGCGCCAGCCCACTCATCTGCCGCCTCTACCCAGAGATCAAGGAGGGCAGCTGCCACTGCAAATTTTCGCATTGGCCCTTTAAATGTCTCTTTGCATCTCCAGCCACCTGTCTCTGGCAGAGAGCGCCCCTAAGCTTTTTGAGGCTGCATTTTGTCTGTGTGTTTTCCTTGTTTCAGCTGCTGTAGTCTAGGGGGTCCCTGTTTATGGTTCAGACCCTGTTCTTCTCAGGGGGATTCAACTGGCCATTTCCATGTCCCTCTGTTGCTGATGCCTGTGGGCGCCCAGCCCACCCTCTTGAGCCTCCACCGCACTTCTCACCCGTTGGGATGTGTGAGAGTTGATTCCACTGTCTGTCTGTGGCTCCAAGGCTCCTCTCACTCTATCGTTCTACCGTTTTCCAGGTGATTTCTCCACTATTTAGTCACTATTCCAGTTTGGTCTTGGGAGGAGGTCAGCGCGACTCCCACTCACTCCTCCGCCATCTTTTTCTTCCTCGAGATGCTGTATTTTGAGTTTCATTCTTCTTGTCCTTATTCTGAGCACTCCCTCTTGTGGCGATTGGCTGTACTTGTCCATGTCCCACTCTAGGTGGTAAGGAGCCCAGCAGAAGTGACACCGTCCCTAAGTACCTCAGCACCCTGTCCTCTGAGCTCCTCTCAGGTTGGCACCCCTGCTGAGACCCCTGGCCTCCCTACAAGTGTGAACTTCTGAGGACAGGCTCCCTCCATGCCTGAGATGTATGTAGTTCAGGAGAATTGTGGTGTATAATGGACCCACCCATAAGAAGACAGCCTCAGAGCTAATGGCCACTCCCTTAAGTGAAGACTACAGGAGGGAGCAAAGTTTCTGTACTTAAAGCCAATTTATTGTGCATCGTCACTTAGTGGGGGAAAAAAATAATTCACCCTTTTCTGGCATATTAAGCCCAAAGAAGCACCTAGGCACTGAAAATCTTCCACATATCCTTCGCTGGGCTCGCATTGTTCGGCAGCCTTCATGGCAGAATCCTGAGGCTAAGCCAGGTGGCATTTGCTGTGTGCCATAAAAAAACTGGCAGGGCTGCAGCCTACCAAATGTACTTTGTGACCCAGACAGGATTTTCCTGTCTTCTTGGGCTTTGTAGAACACTTTTGGAACCCTACACTTCTCAAGAAAGTTTGCCTCATCTTGGCACTGAATTGCAGTCACTCCTGACTTTCTTCCACTCACTCCCAAGAGCGTAACAAAAACCAATACTAAATCACATGTCTCAAGTTTTGGCAGGAAATGTTGCCATGGAGGAAGTAGATCTCTGGTTTAGGAAGGCCCATTCCATTTCCCCCTAAATGTCCATATCACTTCCAGTAGTTTACAACTTATCAAAGTCCCATGTAAACCTGGAGTGGAGGCAAACTACTTTAAGCCACACTAGGGTTTTCCAGTTTAGTAAGTTTCCTATGCTCTTACTTAATATTACTAGGGAGGCTGAGGAGGGAGTCTGTGGCGGCACTGGCTCACCTGAGGATGGGTGGTGCTCTGTACCGGCAGACTGGAGGCACCAATCCCATATTTGCCAGTTCACAGTTTGTCTAAAGTATCCCCTATTCTATGGTTAAAGTAATTTTATGGGAGGAGACTTTTGCTTTTTAAAAATTAACTTTTTAATTGAGTGTCTAGACCTTAAGAGTGTGAATCAATGACCTTTTATACAATAAGTAGTTTTTAAGAAAAATTAAAAGTCTATGGGTCCTAGGATTCTGCAGGACCAGAACTGAAACCACCACTTGCTTACCTGACCCACCCCTAACTGGAGCATTCTTTCATAGTACTGCACCCTTGGCTTGCCAGGAGGCTGGGGAAAGTGAGAAAAACAGAAAGTCACTGGGTCCCACAGGCAGAGCACCAGATGACTTTCTCCCTGGTCATTCATGACAACGTTGGGTTAACCGAATCATTAACATCTCAAGCCTCAGTTTCCTCACCTGTAAATGGGAGTAATGGTGTCATTAGTCCCAGTAGCCAGTCAGGCTCACAAGCCCACCAGGGAAGAATGCAGCTCAAGAGGCTTCCATGTTTTCCTCATGAGGATCTATTCGTAATTCTCTAAAAATCTTTTGATTGCTGTCAAAAGGAAGGGGGACTTTTAGCTGCTGGTCAGGCAGTCTCTTTTCCTTGGTAGGGACTCTGCAGGATGCAGAGTATAGGTGTGGCCAAAACATCAACCAGTGTGATGACAGGCTGGCCACGGCTTTGTGGTCAGCCTGTCAGACAATCCTGCCTCAACTGCTTACTGGATGCCAGGAGGCCACAGAGCTTGGAAGTGAAGAGAATTCCAGGAGCTATCTGAAACTTGGTGGTCCCCAAATTTATAGGTACAAGAAGGAAATATTAGAAATTCTATCTGTATTTTTAAATTTAAAAATTGACTCTGGGGAGGAAAAATGGGGAGTTGTTTACTGGGTATTTAGCTTCAGTTTTGCATGATGGAAAGAATTCTGGAGATTGGTTGTCCAACCATGTGAATGTACTCAACACTACTTAACTGTATACTTAAAAATAATTAAGATGGTAAACTGTATATTATGTGTATTTTACCAAAATTTTAAAATTTACTTAATGAAAACAAATTTTGAAAATAATTTAACCTCATTGTTAAAATTTAAAACATTTTCCAAGTTCTGTTTGTTAATGTTTTGATTTCCTCTTTAAGGGTAATTTTGGAAAACAAATTTTTTTAAAAAAATTTAAATGATTTGAGTGTTATGTTAATGGTTAATGCTATAAAACTAATGAATCATGCAATAGCTATAATTTAGAGATGTAATGAGCTTTCTAATTGTAACATGAACAATTTTTAACATCTTCCATGGACATTTGAAAAAAATGTGTATGCTCTGTTGGTAAGATAGATAGTTTGAACCACAGCTGTCAGGTAAAGGTTTTTGAATTAAAAAAATGATTAGTCTGGTGTACTATTTCATATACACTGGTGCTCCATTGTGGTATTTTTGTCAGACAATTGCATGAGGCCAACAGTGTGTGAAGACCCTGGGGAAGAGGGGCCTCCACATTCCAGAAGCACTGACACTGGCTTCCTCTCTCTCTGTTCACTTGCAGCCAATTGCAATGAATAGCATTTAGGAGGACTCAGTTAAATGACGGGTTCTAATGTCTAATTTTAATAAAACTAGCCCTCACTAAATGGACAGGAGGCTAAAGAAAACAAAATACGGGCAGGTTATGAGTAATTTCAGCTCAGGAAGATAAGAAGCAAAGGCAGAGCTGACACTTCTTCATTCTGAGCTCTTTATTGGCCGGGTGACAGAGGAAAAATATGATGATCTAATCAGATCTGGTAAGTGAGCTAAAAACATTTCAAAATATCTAGATTATTTGAAATATGAACTACCTCCACCCTAGCTAACCATAAACCTCATCCTAAGTGTATTTTGTGCCTTGAGCTGTTGGTCATAGCAAGTCATGTTTCTAATTTATAAATAAATTAATATGCATATGTTTAGGAGTGAATGCTAACAAATATTTTAGTAATAGGGTTAGGAGATCAGAAACTCTGGAGACCACTAATCTGGCCACAAAATCCCTGAACACTTTTGACTCAATATCCTAACTCAGAAGGAATTAAGGATACAGCATTTTTAAGAAAGCAGCACTCCCAAACAGGGCTTAATCCCCAAACTTCATGGATTTAGGAGCCCTGCAAAGGCCTATTCTACAAGGAATATGTTCTGTGAAGAAATTAAAAACTTCCTTCAAACTTTTCCTTCAATAAGGGCTGGTCTTCAAAACAATCTGTTACTAGGGAAAACAGACAATCAGTTGCCTTTATAAGTACAATATTTATGGTCTAGGTATGTTTAAGAACAGGTATTATTTTCAATTCCTGTACCTGTTTTCCTTCTCTGCATTTCTTCAGGGTTTTCATTAGATTTGTATGCTCCTCCTCTCTCCTTTCCATCATGATTTTCATCTGCTTCATACCAACCAAAGCCTTCTTCACCTCTTCATCAACATCTATCTCCCCAGCTTTGGAAAAACCTAAAAGATATGTTGTAATTTTTTTCTTTGAAATCCAATTACATTACAGTGTATCAGTATCTGCATCAAAATACAATGAATTCACTTATTTTTTTTTTTATGTCTCCTGAACAGAAGCTTAACTGTTCTTTTATAGCATCAAATTCTGAAAGCAGATCATAATGAATTAGCTGTCAGCTGCCACATGGACTCAGCTGCCACGTGGACAATACCTTCTGTTCCTCACTGCTGAGCTCCTAGGCAAGTCGGAGTTCACTTAATCTCATTCTTGTCATTTTCTTCGGGGCCTGTTTTCATTTATCCATGTTTGTATTATAGAAAATTTTGATTTTTTGTCATAATTTATATTAAATACCTAACTGGGAACCTCAAATCCAGTGAACAATTTCCCTTTCTCTCAGCTTCAATTACCTTCCCAAGAGGCATCATACCTAGAAAGTATCTCATATAATGCAAGATTCTTTAATAACCTACTGGACATCTCTTACACACTTTTAATAACCCCTCAGTGAGTATAAAATTCATTGTTGTTCTCTCCACAATAGTCAATATGGCTTTCTAAGGAGCTTATTCCTGCCTCCAAATTTAACTATAGACCGCCTCCACAAAGCAATATTTTAACTAACTTATTTTTCTAAGTATTAAGTACCCAAAGCATATACTATCAAGCAAAGGTCAGAAGTTAATGAGCACTGACCTACCAGATTCAATGTCATTATAACCCATTCTCTCACGATCTCAAGAATAACTGCATAGATTACTTTAATTGTTTAAATTTTTCAAATGCTAGAAAAGAATTTCACTGTTCATTAAAACTGCTTAGAGGACACCAAACATCTGGATGATACCAAGAAATGCAGTCACAAAGTTGGCAAGTTCTATCTGCATGATAGCAAACATCTGGATATAAGAATGTTCTCAGATACTCAATTGGAATTTTCTATTTTTATCCAGAGGTTTGGCGTCACGTCTACTTGGTTTAAGTGCCTAGAGAACATCTCACCGTGAAACTGGAGGGCCATAATGAATACGGTTATCTCATGACTGTAAATCACTGTACGTGCCAGCAGGACATGCAAACATGCAAACAGGACGTGGCACAGATAAGGAAACTAAACATACCCCTCAGGTTTCCATGGATAGCAGTTTTGTCTTTCCAAGTAGGTGCACAGTGACAGTCTTTCAACCATAGCAGATACACAATAAACACCAAGAGTGGCAGCTTCATGTTCCCGCTGTTACTGCAAAGGAAAAATAAACCTGCATCAAATGCCTGCCATTAGGTTAGTTTCTGTTGGCATTAATTGAAACACATGGTGACTCAAAGTATTTTTCTGTCAATTTTTCTTTTTGACTTTAGACAATTCATAGACCTGGAATATAAATTTTTTTAAAAAAGACAACCCAAGTCTCCAGTTAGTTTACATTCTTCATGACAGTAAATAAGGTTACATCTGAAGTACTTGAAATTTAAGGTAATGAATAGTATGGCTCACAACCCCATAGAATTCAAATTTCATTTTATTTTCTTGTCAACAGTAAACATCACCAAACACAGAATGAGTTCAAATATATCAGAGGGATTTCCTCCTCCAATTCTGAATCCTCAATGAGTTTTCACCTAAATGGTTGAATTCCTTATTTTTTTTACAACTTATTTTTAACTAAAGCAAAGCAGCTTCACATACTTTCTCATACTTATAAAACATAAAACATATCAATATATAAAATAGTTTAGAGTTACATGTTTTTCTCAGATAATGAATTTCCTTTTAGATTTGATTTCATATACATTAATTATAAACATTTCAAATGCAAACGTTTAAAATTTCACAAAGAAAAGGAAAACAACTGTATACTTTAATAACGTTAAATCTCTGAAGTGTTAGATTATCTTAATTCTTCCAAAAGGAGATATTTATCTGTTTTATGTATATTTACTGTTTGAAAACTAAAACTTTCCATTATTTAATCAACATTTGAAATTTTAATCTACATTTGGAATGTCTTTTTAATATAGTAATAAAATCACATCAGCACAAGTAGTTACAAAGTCATCACATTTTACATACATCTACATCTATCATTTGAACTAACTCTTCTCTTTCTATTATGACCCTATTTACCAAATGAAACTTTTAAATATATTTACCACTAACTTTGCAGTATCTCTCCGGTGAGGTTACCACCAGCTCCTGGAAGGACCTTCACTTTTCTTTAATTTAATTTTAATCTGTGTCAAGTATTTAACCTTGTTCTATTAAGTTGATGACACAGCTCTTAATCCTATTAACCTAGCATTTTGAGATTAATGAGTGTGGTTTAAAACTTGGCTGCACTTAGAAAGAAACACTAGAGGGCAGGCTGTGTACATGATCAGGAATGATGACCTCGAGTTATTTTACACAAATGTCTGGTAGGACTCATTAAAGCCTTAAAAATATGTTTTAATCTGAAATTTATGATATGTATATTCCTATAGACACAAACAAATTTTATTGCAAACATGAGCAATGATATGAAAGAGAGTATGTAAACTCAGATAAGACGCTTTGAAGATTACATAGTTGTTTGGCATTTTTTGACTATATATAAACACATTTTAACTAAATAAAGTGATAAAATTTAGCACATAAAAATGCAATAGATATGTACTTCAGGCTCACTACAATTTGATAACTGATTAACTGAACTGATAATGTGGCCCCTTAGTAGCCCATTTAAAAACAACTTGGTTTTTAGTCAGGTGTAGAGTCTACAGGAATGAGTATCTCTGGCTACTGAAATCTGAAGACTGTCTTGGGCCCCTTTGAAGGTTTTGAGGGATTAGCCAATTCATACGTATTATGTGCTCAGTACTTTCTAAGCAGGTTAAATTGACATTTCTGAACTGGCCCACCTGCTTTTCAAGGGCCCTTAGAAGTTGATCCTTGTTTTTGAGCATCTTGTAGTCTAGAGTTTATGTCTGCTTCACCTGAGCACTGGGGTGGGCAATTACAGGACATAAAGTCCAGCTCACACCCCATTTCAGCTGTCTTGATTTCCCCCTAATTCTCTGTTTTAGTTGGAAACCTCTTAACACTGTTAGAAAACAGATCAGCCCAAAGTTTTGAAGTAGTTCAATTGTGAAATTGTTCAAGTAGAAAATTGTGAAGTAAAAACTTGAACTATTATTTTAAGTAGCCTACTGTCAGTTTTGAGCAACTACAATTCACACCCATAAACAGTTGTGTCTTGTCCTGAGAGGTAACCAGATGGCCAATGGAGGAAGCAGCACTGTAGGTATTTTTCTCAGGAAGAGAGGACATTGTTCTGAAAAAGTCAACAGGAAATTATCCAGGGCTACTCCGACCCTGAGAACTCTTGCTCGGCAGTTTGCTGTTGTCCAAGTTTGGGCCCATTTGAGGTCATTCATGGCTGACATTTGCATGCTCTTTTACAGCAAACCCAAATTTTGTTGAAAAAGGAACCAATTATTTAGACTGTTCAGTGGCCCATCCCTTAGTGACATGCAGAATTTTTCTGTAATCCATGTTCCCTCTTTAAGTGTCATTTCTGAGAACAGAACATTATTGCTAACTGGTACTAGTTACTTTTTAAAATATCTTGAAGCTTCCAAAAAGAAATAATTTCTTCCTCTAATTATTTCATCTGTTTTCACAGCTGCCATTTTGTTCTTAAGATTAAGCAATACTTCATACAAATCCAGTTACTTTCATATTTATGACATCATGTTCAAGATTTAAGTGGATTATAAAATATCATAAATATCTAGTTGGTAACTAAGGAGACCTAAAAGCAATGTCGTCATAGTTAAAAAAGACAGCAGGAAGAGGCATGTGGTATCATCCGAGAAATAGAGTCAGTCAGATGGACTTCAAAATGTCAAGCTAAGTTGTTAAGTTCAGGCTTGACCAGAGTTTCTCAGGTGTGTGGCATAATGGACTTGCTAATACGTCACCCCTGATTAGATTTGCTTCCTCCCCCTTAGTCACAGGCCTGGCCAGACAACCTCTGGGCTTCCCATTGACTCACTCCTTTGGCAGAGAGCAGACCAGAAAACGTGTACCATTCATGCTGTTTCTTATGTGGAGCCTAACTCCAGCACATAATGTTGAAGGTCCCTGAAGTTGTGCAGCCTGAGAGCTCTGCATGTGTCCTGTAGACAAGCTGGGATTTTCTGTCTTGCACCACTAGGGTTGGAAAGGGAGGTAAAGAGTGAATCGCAAGTGAATTCGCCACAACAAATGTGGACTAATTAATGGATTTTTCCATGAGTCAAATAACTTACTAGGCTTAGGAGCGAGAGCGAAAGGAGCGCTGCCCTGTTAGAAATCCCTCCACAGTAACAGAAGATAGTCCTACTCCCACCCTCAATTTGAAAAAAAAAAAAAAAAAATCAAAGAGGGAACACATAAGAGAAGTAAAAGACAAAAGCTTAAAGATCAAAATAAATTATTTATGTAGATTTTAATAGTAATTAATTTCATTAATTCTATTTTCTTTTCCTCCTTTCTCCTTCTCTCCTCTCTCCCTTCCTTCCTCCCTTTCTTCTTTCTCATTTAGTGAGCCATTAATTTAACAAACTTAAAGGACATGATTCACATTAAAAAGCAAAATTTTAGAAGTGGAGTGTCAATTCTCTTTTAAAAGTGTCCCTTTGCAAACAAAAGTTTGCTGGCTTGCTGATAGAAAGAGGACCAATGGTGAAATATAAAGATCACTGCTTTAAGAGATCAGGTATTATCAAAACCCCTGCCATGCTGTGCATTTTGGTACTCTGTGTCCTCATCTAAAAATGAGAAATAATTGGAAGAAATAATTTCTACTGTTACTCCTAGCTCTAAAGTTCTGTATCATTTGCTTATTCTCACAAAGCTTCATCACAGTTTGAGTGTAAAAAATGAGTTGATCTGTGAAATAAAACATTACAGCTACTTTATCTCTTTTACAGAGTTGCTGAACAGGTTAATTTAGTTGACACAAAAGAAAATGTTTTACTGAGCCATGGAGCACAATTAATTGGAAGATAGGTCAACACTTCTTTAAAACATCCAGACTAAACTAAAATTATTATTTTAGGTTCATATAACATAGGCAGCAAAAGCAGGCATTGAATCCAGACTTCAAAATCTTTCATGAAAAAGATGAAGCTTGAATACATCTTATGAGGAAGTTATATATCTCACTTAACCTTATCATGAAATTAGAATTTATATGTACAGACAAACACCACACAAATTTAATTATTGACCAGAATGTATATAAATACCAAATAGGTTTTAAAATTTCCATTACACCTAATACACTATTTCTCTTGCTTCCAATAGCTTATTCAACAAAGGTACAGTGGACACTAATCATGTTTCACACACCGAGGATACAGCAGGAATGAAACAGGCTCTCTTCTCTCTGGAAGCTTTTGTTGCATTCCAGTGGGAGGGAATTGGAAGGAGAGGTGCTACTTTGAAAGGATGGACAGCAAAGGAAGGCCTCTCTGAGGAGGGAACCTCCAGTTAGCACCATTCCTGAAAGAGGGCCTGGCTTTTTTTAATTTGCAGGACCCAGTACAAAATGAAAAAGCAAAGCCCCTTGTTCAAAAATTATTAAGAATTTCAAGACAAGGGGAGGGAATATAAGGGGGATAAATGGTAATGGAAAAAATACAATAAAAATAAAATAAATTTCTCACCACACACACACAAAAGAAGAATTTCAAGACGGCAACAGCAGAGCGTTAAACCAATCGCTGGATCTTTTAGAGCATGAGCACATATCTCACATACATAAGGCCGGCCCTGTGTGAGAGTCAGAATAGCCAAGTGCAAGGGTAGAAACAAACTTGACCTATTTAAGGAACAGAAAAGAGGCCAATGCGGTAGTGCAGTGAGGGGAAGAAGTATATTGGGTGAAGAGGCAGTACAGGTCGTGCAGTATAGCAGAGTAAGAAATAAACAATTTTTTAAAAAGTGAGATGGGATAATTGGGAGAGGTTTTACAAAGGACAATGATATGATCTGATTGACTGGTTTCGAAAGACCATTGTGGCTGCTGTGTGAATGGATTATAGGACAGTGATGTAGGAGGGACCCTGTTTTTATCACAAGGACAGAGACAATAGTAGCTTTGGGCAGAGTTAGAAATAATCAGATTAGGGGTTTCTTCTGAAGGCAAGGCTGAATTGTGAAGTAAAGAGCAAAATGAAGGATAACTGCTGGGTTTTTGCCT